CTTGAAATTCACACATTTATATTCTCGTTTAGTTTTTGTGTATTTTGGGTGGAGAAAAAGACTGAACTTCATAGTGCATGAAGGATTTCATCATGACATCTGACATCAGTTCGAGAACCACTGGAAAACCCGGGAGTACTGGACAGCTGTTTCGTCCTAGTTTAGGACTCTCCAGCACTACGCAATCACTGTGGTTCGAACTCACGACATTCTGGTTGAAACGTGAGTCAGCTCGTAGACCATTGAGCCACTAGGATCCGATGCAATGGTCCATGAATTCTAACTTCTGCGAATTCACGACATAGCGTGACCATTTCACAATGTCTTCTTCGATGAGTTACTGCCTCATCTTCAACCTGCTGTACGTTACTGGTCATGGCTTCCAAATAGAACCTCAGGTCACTACCCGAATAGGGCCAGTCGCTAGCGAGCATCAGATTTTTATCAAGTATTGGTTTTGTGGGGATTTTGTCTGACTGCATTAAGGATTTCATCATCAGCTGGGTTCAAATCCCTGTGGGTGCGTATTGATGAAGAGTTCCAAACGAGGACGAAGCAACTGTCCAATACTCCCGCATTTTCCAGTGGTTCTCTAAGTGATGCCAGCCCATGATGAAATCCTCCATGCAATCGAACAAAATCCCTAGAAAACCAATACTTAAACTTCATAATACACACACAGGGTAAAATGAGAATAAGTCAACAATTGTAGGTGTTTCTGAGCTGTAAACTTTAATTGAGCTATCAGTATTATTTTACTTAGTATCAATGTGTTCCCAGTGGAAAATAGGGCTTCAAGTTAGACCTTTGAAGTTTCAAGGTCAGTTTAGTTTATTTTCACAGGATAGGGTTGATAGCCTAATGCCAAACCTTCCCTCGTAACCGGTCTTGGCAGGTGTAAGGAATAGTCAACAAAGCCAAATAACCTTGAGTCAACCAGTCAGATCTCCTAACATTCCCATGGGATGCTTTCCACAGTGTTCGCTGCAAGTTTCATATTAATTCAGGGTTAAGGTTAGGGTAGGATTAAGTTCGGTTTATGATCAATGTTAGGATGAAACTTGCAACGAGGACTATAAAAAGCATCCATTTGTAATTCTCAGCGATATGGTTGGTTGACCCAAGGTTATCTGATTGGTGTCTATTCTTTATTCTTGTTCCGGTCTTGTCAACGGCTAGGAGAAGTTTTAGGAATGCGTCGGCTGGAGATCGAACCCTGGACCATGTGAGTGGTTGAAGGGTATTTAACCTCTGAACCACCGATAGTTGAGTTATAATGTACCAAAATAAAGATTACTACGTACGAAATTCCAGAAAACATATCATTATAGAAACGAAATCAACTATGTTTGCCAAATTACCTCTCACCGTTTACCCTTTCACATTCTCGGCTGCAATATCTGGAGAAATACATTTCCAAAAGAAATGTCATCCATGACACTAATCAAACCTCCTCTTTGTTAGCACAAATGAACAGTGTATTCATTTTGCCTTAACCAAAAAAAACTTTCAATAAATGACAATACCAATTCACATAAATTATTGGACATTTAGGCATTAAGCACAAACAAATTTGAAGGTGTGACCTTATCAAAAGTGTTATTAATTAAATGAAATCTAGAAAAGGTTAAAAGGGTCTTTTATATTACGGAATATACACATTTGGTCATAGGGAATAACAAGATGAAAAAACGACAGTTGCAGCGAAGAAAATTATCTTTTTGACGAAGTCATCAACTATGCTCTACATTCGTGTATTTATAGTAAATGAGGGAGGAAGTTTCAGAATTATTTCCGGTCAAGGGGCAAGTCAAGAAAATTACAAAATCTAATAAACACGGAAATAGGATACAGAATATAGTAAGGTAGATAGGTTGTGTAGTATTTGTGGTGAGAGCTGATGGCAAGCCAAAATTCTAGACAACACTTTACGTCCCGAATCAGGGTGACGAGAAGAAAACACTATGACAAAGCTCCACCTTGAGGAACTCACCAACCAATTACAGGGGACTCAACATGTGCAGATACAATTCTCAGACGTTCTAGGAAACGGTCACGAGCAGTCCAGAATAACCTTCAGCAGTAAAACAACCAATCAGAAGACGTTGCTTCTCTGATGGTTATTATGTAAATAAAAAATTATAAATACCTCTTTATTTTCTCAATAAACAAACCGTTGCTTGGCCCTTGTCTTCTGTTGTTACAGTATTATCATAGAAATAATTCAGGTCAAAGGCCAAATGAGTGAAATTACAATTAGAAATTAAAATGACGTAATAAAAAAAAGGGGATGAATAAAACTTAAACAGAGTAGCATCATAATTACTGAGAAGAATGACATACTGTGCAAATAGGGGTTAGAAATGTAGAAATACTAAAATAACAAAATAGACAGGAAGTTCGGATATGAAAACGTGATAGTGTAAACAGCAATTAAGAAGAAATTAAAAAAAGCATGAATGCAAAAGAAGTTTGAATAAGAAAGGTTATACGATAATAATTCCACTTAATTTTTTGTTTATTAGATATATCACACACAGTGAGTGAAACAGTATCATTGTTTACTGGATGACAGTTTCGAACACAGTCTGTTATTGTTCATAATCATATCATCAATTATAATCACACGACTTGCAAAACTTGAGTTTTAGAGTTTTCATTATTCTCTATTATTTGTCGTCGTGAGTGTGGTGAGTAGAAATTTTTCAGATATGCAACTGGACATGTATTTTCAGGTTATTATATCAATAAAGCTCTAGTCAGCTATCAATCTCTCTCTCAACCACTCTCCTTATTACATTAGATTTTATAACCAACATCAAGAGTTGGTTGCATTCTTATTTTTCTGATAGAATGTGCAGTAAACTGTATATAACGGCAAATCTTCTTCTACCTCGCTTACAAAGGCCGATGTTCCTCAAGGTGCCGTCCTCTCTCCTTTTCTTTTTTCTTTCTTCCTACACGACCTGCCTCATTCAAACGAAACTAACTTTGTCAAATATGCAGATGATCTGACTGTATCACTGCCTATCACTTCCGAGTCTGACAGCTCCAAACTTAATAGCTTTCTGTCGGACATCAACAACTGGTCCAAGTCAAATGGTCTTATAATAAATCCTTCCAAATGTCAGACGCTTGACATTACTCTAAAGCATCGACGTGACTTACTTGAACTAGTTAACTCGCATGATCCCTGTAGCATAGATGGCACGGAAATTGAAACCAAATCAAGCATTAAATACCTTGGATTAGTTCTTTCCTCTGACCTTTCATGGTCATCCCATATCTTATCTATCTCTAAAAAAATGTTTCGTCTTACCTTCTACATTAAAAAGTTACGACAATCAGGTATCAACCAACCTTTAGTTTTGCAATTTTTAAACTCCTATATTTTACCTATTGTACTCTATTGCTCTCCATTAATCTTTCCTGGGCTTCTCAAAAAAGATTACATCATATTACGAAGAGTATTAAATGCTGTGAGTAGAGCTTGTGGTCTGCCACTGCATGAGCTCGCTAATACTATAGTCGAGAGGCATATAAATTCCTGTACGAAATGGGCAAAGGCTATAATGTCAGACCCTCTGCACCCCTTTTATTCACACCTGTCCCCTTGTATCTCATCAGGTAGGACGAGAAATCAATATAAAAAGATATATGCTCGTACTACTAAGTGTAGAAATTCTACAACACCCTATTTAGCGCGTAATTTATGTGACGAAGACTCTGTTAGACGTGAAAATTACAAGTTACTATGTAATTAGCACGGTGAATCGACCCTTTTATCGTTTCATCTTTCTGTATTTCATGGTGTCACACTTTCTATCGTTTAAATTGTTACTCTGCTATTTTATTTTTAGTTGGTATTACTATTATTACTACAATTTTGTACTTAATACATATTTTTCTCCGTATGACACATAGTACTTTGCTACGTAGCTGCTATAACAATCGTTTTATTACTATTATGTAATGTGTATTTTTAATTTTTTTCGTCGTCTTTTGAGTAAATTAGATGCAATATTGTACTGAAATGCTGAAAATTCCTTGCTGTATCATCAGTACCGTTTTTGGAATAAAGCAATTATTATTATTATTATTATTATTATTATTATTATTATTATTAAATAAAGCTCCAGTCAGCTATCAATCTCTCTCTCTCAACCACTCTCTTTATTACATTAGATTTTATAACCAACATCTTATCCCATCCATCCTATTGTATGGTTGTGTGTAACTGCATACAGTGAGGGCTTTAGGTGAACTATTCCCCAGATTTCCGATGTTATTTGGGTCAACTAATCTAGATTTCGCTGCTAGGTTTTTATGTTCGGCTAGTCTGACCGACCCCGTTCTACTACTTTGACCTATGTAGTTAACCTGACAATCACTGCAGACGAGGTAATAGATAAACTAAATTGTTTTGTTTATTTGGCTCAACAGGCAATATACTTTAATCGAGAAAGCTTGTTTCTAATTCAGTTTGCGGACTTGAAATTCACTATTTAAAAGAATTACCTGTTTATGATGGCCATGACAATGACAATGGTTGAACGTATTTCCTTTGGATAGAGAGCACGGGTTTGAGTTTTAGCTTGGCTTCTGCTTCATCTCCATGCCCATATGTCCTTATTTTACTCCCTTTGATAGGTTTGATCGAATCTTTTGCACGATTCTATCGAATCTTTTTACTTTGCAAGGCCATCATACACAGGTAATTCTTTTAATTATTATTATTATTTTATTATGGCAATGTAATCCGTAATTGTAAGTTTATTGATCTGACCTCCGACCATAAATAGTTCTGAAAGTTTCTCATCCATCTTCTATAAATACACGAACGTACAGCCTAGTTGATGACATCGTCGAAAAGAAAATTTTCTTCACTGCAAGCGTCTTTTGACTCAATATTGTAGACACACCAAAATGGAAATCACAATTAAAATAATAATAATAATAATAGAATATGTAGCAAATTATACCTACTGAGTAAAACTCACATTTTACTGAACTTCCTTTCCAATCTCGGTGATCTAATATCACCACGTGGTGACAACATATGGCCAATATGTTCACTAGTGTTAATATTCGATTTCTCTTTACATGACAAGAACCTTCTTTCTGGACTGATAAATGAAATCGTGCGTCGAAAAGACTTTTTAATCGATCTACGAAATTGTCTATTGTTATTGTTATCATCATTGTGACCATTATTATTATTATTATCATTATTATTGTCATTACCACCAGTGATTGTTAAATGTGTACTGCCACGATCACAGTTAAAAGATTCAAAGCATGTTTCACGACGATTTCTTTGATCATCGGCAATAGAATCTTTCTCAACTAGGGAATAACACACTTTATGCGGATTATGCCTACTAGTATAATTGTGCGATTTAGCTCTTCTAACTTTAAAATTTCCATGATTATTGAAAATATTATATCCAGTTGCTGAATTTGCTACGAAACAGCTATCCTGTTGCATAGTTGATGAGTGTTGTTCACCGTCGAAATGACTATTGCTGCTCTGTTGTTGTTGTAGTTGCTGCTGCTGCTGTTGACTGTCTTCTTGAGAACTGTGTATTTGTGAATTAGAATTATGCGTGATACACTGACAATAAAATACAAAAAATGAAAACCATTTGAAAATGCATGGAATTAGAAACAAACTTTGTCAGTTAAAAGTTCCTGTCAGTGGAGCCATTAAAACAAAACAATTCAGTTTATCTAATACTCTGAAAACAATGATTGTCACGTCACATACATAAGTCAAAGTAGCAGAACATCTGCAGTCAAACTAGCTGAGCATAAAAACCTAGCAGCGAAATCTAGATTAGTTGACCCGAATAAGATAAGAAATCTAGAGAATAGTTCAGCTATAGCAATGGCTTCATGCATCCTTTCACAACCAAACAGCATAGGATGGATGGGATAAGATCTCAGTTTTAAAATCTAATGTAACAGGTAGAGTGGTGGTGGGAGAGGTTGATAACTGACTGAGGCTTTACTTATCAAATCAACGGCAGATATGTGTAACAGGAATGATTGAACGCCTGTCCAGGTGGATATCTGGAATATTCTACTACCACGCCCACGAGGACAAATAAGATAGAAAAAAGGAGACTATAGAACTCAAGTTTCGAAGTAGCGTGATTATAATTGATGAAGTGATTATGAACAGCAATAAATTTTGTTCGAAACTATGTCATCCAGTAAATAATGATACTGTATCTTTTTGTGTGGTAAGTCTAATAAACAAACTTATACGGAATTACTTACTGCCATAGTGCCCAAATTTTACACATATATTAACACCTTACTAAGGTATTTGACATTATATATAATTTGATCAGTAAATGACATCAAGATGCTAAATGAGCAACGTCCTCTCTTATGTCCTTCTGTATTTATTGCATTTCCTCTTTGTCGTCTAAAGCTGTGAAAATAAGGAGGTTTTGTAACAAGCAGAAGTTCTAAAGCATTTCGGTAGATTGTGACTGGCAGTGGAATCTAGAATGTTGATTTCATTCAACTACTTGGGACGTGACCAGCATTCAATAGGCGATAGGTCTCATGGATAACACTTCGTTCGACATTTGAAACGGCGGGTACTGGATTCAAGTCTCAGTAGAGACAGAATCACTGACTAGGAAATGTAAATCCAACTGATGAATCCCGGATACGACGGAATATGCATCATATATCTCATTGTTAGACACTATCCACTAAATCACTTCAAACTAATCCTCATACACCACTAGGATGTCCGTTCTAATCGGTCTAGTCAATTAATGGGGGATATCAGACATTTACTACGAAACAGATAAAAACGGAAGTATGCTTAGATAGATGTCGGTAGCACTTCCAATCGGCTTTGCTTTGAAGTTAAAAGAGTTATGCGTGTAACTGAAATTTGTAAATGAAACTACAAATTTTAAACCACAGCGGTAACAATAATTTAATGAGTTATGTATATGATGTAGTGTACTTCTTAGGTTCCTATAATGGCGACCATTTAAATTACTTAGATTGTCTACGAAGAAAAATTGCATAATCGCACTTCCGGAAGAAGAAAAATTATTATTATTAAGCGAGTTATAGAAAGTAATTTGATATTACACTGATTGAAGGACTATTTGATATTGGCTGAAACAAAATGAAATTATTATCTTCACGTGTTCATTTTATAAAGATTCTGTTTGATTGTATGGAGGATTTCGTCATGAGCTGACATCAGTTAGAAAATCATCGAAAAACCTGGCATTACTGGACAAATGTTTCATCCGATTTTGGCACTCCTCGGCAGAATCAAGCACGGTGAATTGGCAGAAGTTAGAGTTCATGGACCATTGGATTGGATCCCAGTGGCCTAGCGGTCTACGCCCTCATCTTGTACTCAGTAGACCCTGGGTTCAAACCCTGGAGGGGGATGCGTGCTGCTGAAGAGTCTCAAACCATTACGAAACAGCAAGCTATCCAGTACTCTCAGATTTTCCAGTGGTTATTTAACTGATGTCAGCTCAAGAGGAAACCCTCCATCCGAAATTAATACCGGTAATAAGGCAGATTATATGCACTGCAAATATCACTTAATTGACTCAAACGGACTTCTCCTGCGTCTTTTTATTCAAGAATGAATACTACCAATAGAAATGTACGATAAATATATTCACCCACATCAGTTCATGCTGACAATTACAGATGTCATCTTAGCTGGATAAATGTAAACGTATTAATGAGCAGAGGCGCTAAGAATGCACTACAGTATTCTTAGTAGCCTGCTACTCAGATCCATTTGAAATCCACAGATTTGTGGATATTGGTCAAATGTATCAATATACAAAAACATCTTTTGATGTGGTTTTGTTCTCTGAGCTGGATGGTTAGTTTGCGAAGCTTTCATCACCTTACTGGGTGACATCTTCAGCGCATACTTCAATTTGAAGACTTCAAAGACATCAAAATCATCCACCTGAGCTACAAATCTTCTCTATCATATCTAGTACAAAAACATCGCTCTACAAAAAAGTAAAGTCTCGTGTTAAATGTTAGTGAACGAAATATTCGCATCTTAAGTCATAAGAAAAAGGCGTAAACAGCCAAGAAAACTTTCTTCTCGATGGTTTACATTCATAAGATGGACAATCCTAATTTTTTTTAACATAAGCATTCATAAGATCAATCTGTAACTAGCAAAATTTGTTCCCGAAAAACATATTAGTTGTAATGTATAAGGGGTGACTAATTGGAAATTAGAAAATTGGGAGTTGGGGTGACGTAATATTAATAACAAGCAGCCCTATCATTGAACACTTTGTTAACCCAAGAATTCGAGCACCGTCACATAAATGCTTCACAGTGCTACACACGGTCCTTCAATATCGTACAATGTGACTTTGCATACGCCATCTGTATACAGCTGAATCATTAGCTATTCAAAATCTGAAACCGAACCACTGCATTCAAAAGCGCCACATACATTCACTCGCTCTACCATGGTGAGTTTTGCTTCCTTTTATAGCGGAAGTTTACTTTTATAACCGTTCTCATCATCCTTACATTTTCATTCCTGTACTACTGTTTATTGATAACACTTCGTTTTCATAAAGATTTTATAAAAATACTCTATGGTCTTTCCACTAGTTCATGTCCACTCTACACGAATATGCTGTTTAGTCATTTTCTTACACGTATTACGTCATGCCAGTGTCTGTCTTTTTTCTAATTTCAAATTAGCTAACCCGTCCAGACTACACCTTACATTACTTAATAAGTATTCGAGCAAACATTTCACCATAATCTGATTGGTCTTATGATATCTTTGTTAAATGTAATTACGAGTGTACAGCAGCTTATGAAAAATGATCGTTGAAAAGGGAGAATTTTCTTCACTGTTTACGTCTTTTTTCTTAATGTTAGTACCAATACAACTGAACTCAAATATAATAAAACTTTTGAGGAAAACCAGTAATATCTGGATGACTACTTCATTCATGAATGATTCTAAAACCTCCCTTCAGTGTAAAATAAACAGTGAAGATGTTTTCTAAAAGGCGACGGAAATTCTGCAGTTAAACAGTTTAGCTTGAAAAACGTAATAGTCGGTAAAGTAAGCACACCATGAAAACTGTTTAAGCGCTTCGTAGACTGAAAGGCATTCGACAAACAATACTTGATGACTCCGTGTTATACAGTGTAAAATCACGTATAGGATGAAGTGTCGCTGGACTAAAGTAGTAACAGACAGTTATACTAGTGAAGACGAACTGCTGATTTCGACTTATTTAGTACTCCTCTATAGTTGGCCGGTAAAAGATGCAAATAGAACACACACACACAGAGGTAGTTTACTAAATGCTTGTTCATAGAGTCTGCACTTAACATACGCAATAGGAATGACTCATCACTCATACCGGAAATATGGAAAATACTACTACCAATCCAGACAAGCGATGGAAAATTATGGAATTATATGAACGAAATTAGAAAGTTGTGTGAGTAGTGCCTTGATATGATTATGAGTACAATAAATTGTGCTCGAAACGTGGTCATCAGTAAATATTACTGTATAACACTCTAAGACTTTATCAAAATAAATTTAGCTGTAGTGTTTTTGATCTAGCTGTTATTGTTTTGGTGGAACTATGGTTCCAATGAGTGAGTTGCCGCTTCGAACTCCGCTCCATCCACCAAGGTTTGGGCAGCGAGGTAGTGACACTTGTTCTAACACAAAACTGGTGTGACTCATTGACAAGAGCATGGAATTCCAAGCTTTTGTTAGGTAAGATTTCTTTTTTTACACTATTGATCTAAATAAATAATAGATATTATTTAATTCACTTCTGACCTTCCATACGATTGACTGGAACGACGTCCTAGGCCTCTGTTGAACGAGAAAACCTAAACTAAATTAAGTAAGAACAGATATCCTCTGGACAAGAGGAGGATAGGCCTTATGATTCAAGTGGTCTAATGGATAATACTTTGGAGTTTGAAACTGTGTGTACTGGGTTCTAGCCTCAGTTGGAAAATCATCGCTCACTGTGGGAATGACGGTACATCCATCTGACGAGTCTCAAATCGGGCAAAATTCGCATTGCGGATTCCACTGCTAGTCACCATCCATGTATCCATGTATGCTTTCTTAGACTACACATCTGCTTTTGACTCTGTACCTAGGAGCCTTTTGTTAAATAAGCTATCGTTGACACAAACAGGATCCTGGGCTAAGAGTGGGTTGCATTCCTATTTTTCTGATAGAATGCAGTATACTGTATATAACGACAAATCTTCTTCTACCTCGCTTACAAAATTCGGTGTTCCACAAGGTGCCATCCTCTCTCCTTTTCTTTTTTCTTTCTTCCTACACGACCTGCCTCATTCAAACGAAACCAACTTTGTCAAATATGCAGATGATCTGACTGTATCACTGCCTATCACTTCCGAGTCTGACAGCTCCAAACTTAATAGCTTTCTGTTGGACATCAACAACTGGTCCAAGTCAAATGGTCTTATATTAAATCCCTCCAAATGTCAGGCACTTGACTTTACTTTCAAGCATCGACGTGACTTACTTGAACTAGTTAACTCGCATGATCCCTGTAGCATAGA